TACCATGTTATAGGTGAAACCATGTTATATCGAACTTGCTTTGATCCCCCACCGTGCGCCCCCCCCCCCCCCCCCCGAGCGCTGCTTTACCGTGTTATATCTGAATTTGTGTTATATCGGGTCGCGTTATATCGAGGTAGAGGTGTAATAAAATAGCCCTACGTATCCCACTACAGAGCAGGGAGCGCATTGTTAAATCCTTCCTCCTGCCACGGCACCGACTTTGTAGCCATTAGTGTGCTGGGAAAACACAAAGAGAAACTCCCACGGGTTCAAATGTTGGTGTTTTAGTTGAACTGGTGATGGAAGGGCCGGTGGGGATCTGTAGTGTAGAGACAGCTCAGCCAGAGCTATTTTCACCACCACCATTTACCCTTTCTGAAAGCAAATCTGATGGAGCCCAGCAGCAAAGCTAGATAGAACCTATGCAGGAGGTCCAGCTAGATGACCATGGTGGCCCCATCTGATCTTGTAAATTTCCTCAGTGTAGACCAGGCTTGATTGTAACTAATGCTGACCCTTTTCCCCCCTCCGAGCAGTACCCAGCGCCATTAATAGTTTTTCTTTTTCAGGTGATCGAGCCAACTCCACATTCTGCAAATGCCTAGCAAACAAAGTCCCAACCCCAGTCTATGCCTTCATCATGATTCCTCTGGTAGGAGCTCTGGTAGGAGCTTTCTTGGGTGAGTCCCAGCCCTCCGTGGCCAGGTTTCTGTGTCCTGTTTCCTCCCTTTAGCCACCAGTCTCTCATTCTCTCCACCTCAGCTTTAAACAGAAAACTTTCAACTCCCTGTTTTGAAATACTGGCTCTCTCTGGAGCTAGATTGGACTTACTGGACTGAATTCAGACTCCACGCCCAGCTGTGTGGCAGTTGTGCCACCCCTCTGAAGGATATTATGAGACTGCTGGCCTTGCCTTTCTACCGGCTTCACCCTTTCACTGGGAGAGGGAGATGATGCTGTGAGGTCCTCAGTCAGTCCCAAGCTGAGCTTGCTCTCAGGAGAGGCAGCCCCTGCAGTGCCAACTACAGTGTGCTTTATTATTCGGTGCAAAAGCCCTTTTTTAGCAAAGGGCTGTGGCTGAGAACCTAAACGAAGAGTCAAGTTTCAAAGCATATTTATCTTGCTGCCCATCACTGCAGTATCTGGGCGCCTGCCATGTAAAAATCATCAGCAATAGTGAAGTCCCACGTGGACTTCCTGGAGTTTCTGGCACTTCCCCTTTTGGGATCAGAACTCTGCGTGGGAGAGGGAATTTTTTTTGTGGGGTTTTATGGGCAGAAGGGGGTGTCTCCTTTCCTCAAGAGAACCAGCCTGCCCCACCCCAGGGGTAGCCATCCCAGCTGATTATTCTGAACTCCCATCTTTAACTGGGTTTTGGCATCCTCCTGCTTTAAGTCTGAGTTTGGGCCTAGCTCTCTGTGCAGGCCACTGTGTCATGGGTCGGTTATAGCCTCACTGAATTCACCCCTGGGGCTCAAGTTCTAGTGTCCTCTGACCTCCCTCTGAGCATCTGGCAGAGGGTTAAGGAGCCTCTGGATATGAGGGGCTTGTTCCCCCTGGGTGCAGGAAGGGACAAGCTCTTACTACGTTACTTTCTCATTTTCAGGAATAGCAAGCCAATATTTGGTCCATCCTGGCTCTGCTGTGGTCCCCTCTCCGAATCCCCCTTCTGGCCCCTGGTGCCCGGACGGCTGGGTAGGGTACAGAGGGAAATGCTACTATTTCTCCAAGGCCAAAGAGAACTGGAACAACAGCCAGAGCAACTGCTCTGCGCTTGGTGCCTCCCTGGCTGTGATTGACAGCGAGCAGGAAATGGTGAGAGAGAGACCAGCACGGATGCTTGATAATGACCTAGACTGGGCTTGGCAGGACAGAAATGGCTGCACTGGGGTAGGGCCCAGCCTCTGTAGTTCCAGAAGGAGCTCTGGTCCCTTTCCTGCTGGGAGGCCAAAGGGAATGAAAGTCCAGCTGCGCTCAGTATGTGATTGTCCTTTCTTCATAGCTCCAGGCAGGAGAAGCACTTCCGTTGGGTTGGGCTGGGTCAGCCAAAGCCTGGCCGGTGGAGCTGGTTGCGTGTCAGGCAGGGATTGTGAACTTGGCACTGCTATGCTGCCATGCTCGGGGTGGGAGGACTTTCTAGCTGAGCAGGATGCCTGCTTTATGCCCGCGTATACCCCCACTGGGCTCTGCAAAGGGTCACGGCTCTGCTCCCGGCCTGGCTCTGTCCTCCTAGCCCCACTCCAGTGATGAGGGGGAGAGAGGATACAAAGTACGGAGTGGCCTTGCAGAGAGGGACTAGAGCTTATACCCATGTTGAGCCATGCAGCTTTCCCTCCCCTACAGGAAATTGTTTGGTGGGGGAGGGGTGGGAAGTGATCAGGAGACAAGAGCAGGGGTATAGTGTGAATGGAGAGGGTGAATGCTCATCCTTTGAACACCTGAGCCTCCTGGAATGTGAGTCGGCATTCCCCTTTGAAAAAACTGTACCGCAAGCCTTTAGATTCCCTGTTGTGCAGAGCCCTCTGGGGTGGGTGAGGTTCAGTACCATGATCTCAGAGTCTCATTCATGCTGTCCCTTTGTTTTTGTATTTCTAATAAAGACGTTCCTGCTGCGCTATAAAGGCAAACTTGACCATTGGCTCGGCCTCTGGAGGAAGCAGGACCAGGACCAGCCCTGGAAATGGGCCAATGGCACCGAATTCAACAACCAGTGAGTCCCTCTATATACTGACGTTGCCCCGGAATTTGACATTCCTGCGTGTATCCCAGAACTTGGCAGCATTGCAGTCAGCCATTTTGTATGTGCAGCCACTGCCAGCTGATAACCAAACATCACATAGCGAGGAATAATCTTAGGCCTTTTGAGACAAGCTCAGACAGCTGCATATTTGCCGTTTGTTAATTAAAATGGAAGAATAAAATAAAAACTTATGGAAAAGAGTAAGTAAATAGCGACCATGGTTTTAGGTGCCCCTAATATATTGTCAAGGCTAAAAATGTTTTAGAATAATAAGTAGTTTGTTGAAATTGGGAAAATTGGTGACCCAACCCAGTGGAGGTTATTGTGCTGATGCATTAAAAGAAGCTTCCTTGGACTGCTCTGAGGTATTTATTCTCCGGGAAAGGATCTGACATCTTAACCCCTGTCAGCGGGATGGAAGGAGGGCCCCTGGAAGTCCGGCTGGTGATTACTTAAAACCATCTCAGACTGTGGGTAGCTATATCTGGGGTGTCCTAAACTCTAGGTGTGTGTGTGCTTAATCGCTAATAAATAGCAGTTAAGAGCACGCTTACTTGTATTAATCTTTCATCAGACAAAATTGCTGTGTTCCTATTGGCTTGTTCCTGACACCGTGTGGCGTGAAACAGTTCAGTTACCACTGCTTTGGGTTCTGAAACCGCCCCAGTAATACTAACACCCTGAAGACAGTTTTAGGGATAACAAGCATCCTAACCAGCCCTCCATGGAACCAGTTGTGAAGCTGGAGGCTCTGTGAGCGGTCCCTGAGCTCTGTCGGAGTCTGTCTCTGGACTCATCCGACTCTTGGGATAGTGTGTGAAGGTGCCGGGTGGAGCATGGGACTCTTACTCCTGGGGTGGTGGCTTTGACATCTGTTGGGCATGGTGGTGGCTGTGATAAAAGGAGCCGAATAGGACAGCAGGCCTTAGCTCGGTAACAAAGCCATCTGTCCTGGCATGCCTTGGGTTGAAACGGATTCTCAGTGCTCTAAGACAGTGGTTCTCAACCAGGGGTACACGTTCCCTTGCGGTACATCAGCTCATCTAGATATTTGCCTAGTTTTATAACAGGCTACGTGAAAAGCACTAGCAAAGTCAGTCACTAAAATTTCCTACAGACAGTGACTTGTTTATACTGCTCTATAGACTATACACTGACATGCAGGTACAATATTTATATTCTAATTGATTTTATAATTGTATGATAAAAATTAGAAAGTAGCAATTTTTCAGTAACAGTGGCTGTGACACTTTTTTTGTATTTTTATGTCTGATTTTGTAAGCCAAGTAGTTTTGCAGTGAGGTGAAACTTGGGGTATGCCAGACAAATCAGACTCCTGAAAGGGGTATAGAGTCTGGAAAGGTTGAGAGCTGCTGGTCTAAGAAGCATCCCTGCTGGGGAAGTCCTAGTGAGCGTGCGTGTGGGCTCTGTGTTCAATGCCACGTGGGAACGGTTCCTGGAATCCTTCCTTTGGGGCACTCTGGCTGGAAATTGGGCCTGCAAGAGCCAATCACAGGTCCCAGCTGGGGGCAGAAATGACCAGGAATTGGGATAAAAACATCTACCTGGAATAAAAGCTGGGGCTGCCCCTCTGCCCTGTTAACCCCAAAGTGGCTCTGTTTAATTCCCTCTTCCCCATTTGCTCCCTTTCCGCCAGGGAGGAATTGCAATGGGCCTCTTTGCTCCCTGTACAGTGGGGGCTTGATGGCTAATTGAGATGTTGCATTAACATGGAGCACCTCTCTTCTTCTAGGACACTGCAGGCAATGCCCAGCCCCTGCCTGACTGTAGCTCCTGGCTTCTGTGTTGCAGGTTTGAAATTAGAGGAGGCGGACACTGTGCTTATCTGAGTGATGGATTTGTTGGCTCTTCAAGGTGCTCCTCACTCACAAACTGGATTTGCAGCAAACATGACGCGTATACGATGGGAAAGGGAATTGCACAGCCTGGGATATGAAAGTTTTTGGGAAGCTTGAAATCCCAGCACCTGCAGACAAAACAGGATGAGTATTTATTCCCTACAGTCTGTTCCCCCGGGGTCTGTCCTGGTTCTGATTGTAAATACCTCAACAGTGGGGTTTTCATGTTCTTTATAGCTTGATTGAAAGTGGAACAGAGCTGTCGCTTTCTAGGGAAACTTTCCTGAAATTAACTCACCCTCTTTACTCAGTTCTCCTGCTTATACCCCACGTGTACACAATCTCTGGTGTTTTCCCCAAGTCCTGCTCTAGGTCAAGCCTCTTCCCCTTAGGCGCATGCTTATAGGTGGCTGTTTTCTGGAGACGCTGGGTTTACCTCATCACTGATTTGTAATGTGAAGGCCGAGCTAAAGGGAAAGGAAACTGGAGTTCAAAATAGCAATAATTTGTTTAAATGGAAGTAAGCAGCGGATTAGATACATCTTCATATACATTTTTTTGACCGATCAAACTGTGCATTCATGAGTTTGTGTAACCCCTGATCTTATTTTTTTCTTTTCACTTATTTGGATTTTTACTGTGCTGCAACACATGAGCACCCGTCCAACTCTGTGTCTGACAATCTTTTATAAATACAGTATTAAGTAGACCATCCGTTACCTCAGATCAAATCCAAGAACCCAGTGACTGCATTAATATAACCAATTAGTTTAACTTCCCTCCCACTCTTACCCTTCTCCTCCTCTCAATTCTTCCTCCTATTTATTAAACGCACTCGTTGCACTTTTGTTATACAATTAGATGGTTAGCTACTTGCCGTTCCTTGTCTTGCTGCAGGTGCAGTGCCCAGCACAATGGGGCCTTGGTCCTGATTCAGGCCTCAGGTACAATACTGATACTACACCAGTGATGATTTTAGGCCAGTTCTCATTTAATCATTCCTCTTAAATCAACCCCTCTAGTCTCGCTGGAAGTGCCTTTTGTCTGAGAGTTTTCATGCTCTTGCTCTCCAGGTGTGGGACCAGGTTATCCTTGATGTTTCTGGATTTGCAGAAGACACATGACGTGTGGTTCTTTGAGTAGATGCAGACGTGTATTCCAAGTAGATCTGCATGTGCCCCGGAGCCAGAGACTCTTGCCTAGCAGCATCCATAGAGAGGTGGTGCTTGAGGCTGTAAACCCTCCTCAGGCTATATGAGGCAGCGCTGTCCCAACCCCCCGTCAGTTCCTTCTTACGGCCCATCGGCTGGAGTTAGTCTTGTGCACTTGTTGCTTTACAGCCTTGTGAATTTGTATCTTAGCCTACTCTGTTGTATATAGTTGCTAAAAGTTTTAGTGTAGTATTAGTGTCGGTGGTAGTGCTCCCTGGTGATGTCTTTACCGGGGTTCAAGCATTGCTCTTCATGCGGAGTGGCGATTCCCAACCGCGACCACCACACACGGTGCTTGCTCTGCTTTGGTGAAGCCCACCTTAAGGCATGGTGTTCGATCTGCAGATCATTCAAGAAGCGGACTTGGGTGGCATGGGACCTTCTCCTTAAGCAGCCCCTGCTTGAGTAGGCCACGAGGCCTGACCCAGTGCTGAGGCCTTCCTTGGGCAGCAGCTCGCCCTCTGGCTCGGAGAGCGCTACTGCCTCCTGTTCCAGGGCAGGGGCCTCTCCGAAGAGACACAGGAGCCGTTCTCCAGCATGGGCACCAAAGAAGAGGTCTCATAAGACCAGTCGGGAGTGTTCCAAGTCCAGAACAATTCTTCTGCCTCCCCTAATAAGAGTGTGGACCTGCACGGTGCTGGCTCTGACGCGCGGGATGATGCAGGTGCTTCTGACCCTCCCTTGGTACAGGGTAGGGAGGGCAGATGCCCCGAACTGTCAACTCTGGTTCCGGCCTCCAGGCATGCATTGAATCCAGTACCGACGGGAACGATGCCAGTACAAACAGTAGACCAGGCTGTGGCGGACCTACTCTGCCTTTCTGGTCCAAGAGTTCGCGAGGCTGCCGCCCCACAAGGGCCTCTCAGTCAGAGTGTGCTGCCAAAGTCTTAGCTCTGCACCATGATACTCTCCCTCCGGGGCTTGGCATGGACATGGTATCAGAAACAGTACAAAGTTCTTCAGTACTTGGTGTGACAGGGTCCCCGGGGTGCAACCTGGACTGTGGGAGCACTGAGCCCTCTGTCCCACCAACCTGGGGTCCCTCTCACACTGTGATGCTGTTGTCAAGTTGAATTGGGCGGGGGGAGGGGAGAGAGGCCAAGTGATGATGTCACTTCCCTCTTTTATGTTTTCTTCCACCTCGCTGGAAAGATCTTTTCCTGTGACATGGGGATCAGGCAGTCCCATTGGTCAAATAGTCTCTATTGCATACAGTCTCTGGGATAGTGGATTCTTTCCTTGATGGGTGTTGATGAGCCATTAATTGCTATCTGACTACTCCATTGTTGTACCTGAAAGGCTGGTTGTGGGTGTTCCCAAGCTCACAGCACATTTCAGTAACACATACAGCAATAGTTCATAACCTCACATACAATAAAACAGGATATTAAAGTTCAACAGATCAAGACTTTTAGAATGATACCTCACAAGGCAAACTTTGTACCAAACATAGCATAATTATATGACAGTGGTGAATATGGGGGTTCCAGGGTGCTACTCTGTGTGTTACATGGGGCCCTTCCTCAGCACCAATGCAGTAGGTGCTGCAGATGGTCCCATGGAGCTTGTCACCGTCCTCAGTGGTGAAGCATGTGGGCGCTCTGGTACCATCATTTGCATCAGGACTGATTTTTGCCTATGGCACCGACCTTTTCGGTACCAGTCGTACCGACTGCTCTTTCGTTCTGGGCTACGGATGGGTCAGATCACCTGTTGGCTCCCTCTGGAGTCGCTCTTCCCATGTTTCTGAGGTCCCAGGACTCCTCTGCTTCAGAGTCAGGCTCCTCATCCCCCCCACTCCACTTCACCTGAGGGAGTCTGGGGGCCACCGGTGGACCACTACAGCTACCTGAGTTGGCACACGCCTCGAGGCCAGGATGGGGGTCCCTGGTCCGGCACC